CTTCAAGACCACATCAGTAAAATTCTCCTTGATGTAGTAAGTTTAGTTWAAAGGTTGTGATAATGTAAGGCATATTCTTTCCATCAAGATCTATCCTCAACTTTCTAATAGGTAGTGTAAAGTAGACACAGAACTAAGAGTCAAAAACTCTTGAATTCTCTTCACAGTTTGATTGTTGGGTTGTTCTTTAGCCTTGGCCAGTTGCACTACCTCTTTGCATAAAGGCTTTCYTATGCATAAAATGAAAGTAACTCTATGTTTTCTCTGACTGAAAAGGTTACACAAAGGTATCATGAGGATTTTCTCATGTTTACAAAGCTTTTAAAATACAAAAATATGCAATAAAAGTGCTAAGAATGATTATGTTGCTCTTCATTATTCTTAACTGAAAGGTGAGTTGAAGAGAGGTAACACATAGATGCTGTTGAAGAGAGCCTAGACCCATGAGAAGCTTCCTGAGAAAAGTTATTGCTTGACAAGCTTAAGATCATAATTCTGAGTTCAAATGAAATAGAAAATTTTCTTTTTTTCTCCCTCTTTCTCTTTTCAAAAATATAACTAAACCATAGTTAGCACTTATTTTCACTACATACACTACTCTACTGAGTTGCAAGCAAACGAAGAGCAGTTTTTACCAGTTTTTATTTTTATTGTGGGTTACTGGCTGAGGTAGAATCTTCTTGCTTTTACAATCTCTCTCTGACACTCACTTCCTTAGAATAATAAAAATTTAGCATCCAACTGTTCTTTTAAAAATAGTTTGCTGGTGTAGTAACTGAATAACTGCAAAATTATGGCTCAGGATTCACATATTTCAGTTGTCTAACTGAAGCATTTGAAAAAGCTTTTCTTTCCCTACAGAGGACAAAATCTAGTCTTTCAGGTATTCCTTGGATAGAGAAAACACAATGAGCAAGCAAATGGTAGGCATYAAGACACATTTAGTTGGAAACTGGATTCTCATTCTGTATTACCATGGTATCAAACTTAGAGAGATGATGCTAAAACAGTTTGATACTATCTTTTTTCAAAAACAGATATTAAAAATTTTAAGTTCATTTTAAAGGGCCTAGGGATAATTTTAAATCATGTTTTTATCTGATTTCCAATATAGAGAGTGTTGATTGCCTCTTTAATGGATAATAAAACACTGAAGTTTTAAGCAGTATAGCAACTATCTAATCCACAGAACTTAAATTAAGGAAAAACATAAATTAAGACAGAAGGAACATTGCAAAAAAGATTCTTCAGAAATTAGCTGTCATGTAAATTGTTCTTGTAGCTCCCTAGAGTTCCATAAACACACTAATATGCACACCCTCGGTTGTACATAAGCAATACGAAAGCAATTTAAAATAGATTTTATGTTGTACAATTATAATAATCTCTCCCAAATGATGTTTGAGCAAAGACTAGGATAAATAGTATGAAGAGACACTATACATACCAAATTACAGATAACTAAGTGAAACACCAGATTATTTCATATATATTTGTTCTGGAAGCCTTTCTAACACTTTTCAATTCCAAAACAACCTTTTGCTTTCAAATAATGCTTTTAATGAAATTTTCAAGTGTTTGATGTACTCATATTTCTGGAGTTTGCATGCAATGAATATGACATTTTCCATTAGATCCTGTCAGTCATATTCAGAGGACGCAAGTATCACAGCAACAGCTGGGATAGTCTTTTTCCACTGAAAAAGCTATTCTCTAAAGGCAAAACAAAGAAATACTTCAATGCCTGACACCTTAGATCCGTGGCACGGAAAGTGGGGTAGGTGTATGTGCCATGGCACTTCACGGTGTTCAGTAGGGGCCATATCCATCTCTTCTTCAGAGTCAGACAGTGCAGAGATTATTTCCATAACAAAGGTGACTGAATGGACTTCCATCATATTTCATGGAGCTTTGGACAAATCAATACCATCATTACAGGGAGATTTGATAGGCTCTCCTAAATCATACCCAAATGTTTGAAAGAATAAATCAAATATATTGTATCACACTTAACTACATAATATAAATATTTGCTAGAGTATTGACTCAGGGTGGGAGCTGTGGCTATTTGTCAAAGTAAACACAGAGGTAAGTAAACCTTTGAAATAGTTATTACAAAGTAGATAAGATAAATACCTTAAATCTCCTCAAATAAATAACTTTCCATACATAACAATCCCCCACAATTTTATTACCAGATACTCTGGAGAAAACAAAAGCATTCTACAGTCAATCCTTCCTTATCTGTTCATCCCATCTTAAATGYCATTATAGCTGTTGTCTACACTAAAACTTTTGGTAAATTTAGTTATACTTATTTGAGGAAAACTGGCCAAAGCATACACCACACCCCAAACAGCCAACCTATCCCAGCTTGCAGTAAAAGATCACATTTAATATTATATATATATATATGGGTTATATATATTGCTTATTAAATAAACATAAAAATAAAGGAAGAACTGAAATATTAAAAACAATTGTCTGTCTGTTTCTAATCCTTCCTGTAGGAGGTCTGGCAATTATTACATTTCATAATTGTGATGGATGATACGAGCTGCAAGGTCAGCCTACCAATTTGCTAGCACTTGTGCTTATAGCATGTTAAGCATTTTTGCACATGATACTTCAATAGGAGACGTAAATTCTTCATCTTAACAATTATCTTTATTGGGGTCCCAGTCTAACCTGGAAGAAAAAAAAAATAATCTGGCTCCATGTATGCATGGAAGGAAATTAGAAGGGTGAAAGAAACAGCAAGTCATTGTGTTGTCTCAGAGTCAGAAGGGTGAGTAGGAGTTTACAAAGTGAGATTAAGAAAAACATTACTGAAAATTTGTTTTCCAGCTTTTAATCTTTGCTGCTATTTGGTTTTTGTTTGTTTGTTTTTTTTGTTTTTAATATAAGCAGTGTTTTTACTCCTCTACAAAGCTAACACACAACCAGGAACAATCCTGTGACAGCATAAAGATATAAAGAGAGATAAAAGGGAGAGAATAGGAATATGAAAATGTGAATGTGTGCATACACACATGCATATGTGTATGTTCAGGAATAGAACATATATTTTATTTYAATAAATTTAGTCAATATCATTTGTTTTCATTTTGCACATTCCAGTCATGTAAATCACAGCGTAAGAGGCTTTATAATGCCATCTTTTAGATCTTTTGGCATTTTCTTCCAAAATCATGCATTTATAATTTAGGATGTTTTCAGTGGTGAAATTCTTCGGCTTCAGAATGAGTTTCTATGACCTAGATGCTCTTCTACTTTCAATTAGCTGTGGAAGACAGAGAATCCTCACACCCACACTTTGATTTCCTCTCCTCAGTTGCACATTTCAAAGGCAGGGAAGGTAAGCTGCATTTCCACAGACATAATAGGACCCCTAAGTTTATGCACTTTCATGCAGACAAGAAGACAGATAAAAGGATAGCTTTCTCCAGCTGTTTGCCTGGCATTATAAGCATGTAAATGGGAAATTCATAGCTGCTYGAGAGAGAGCTAACAACAGAAAAATAGCACTAAACGTCTAGAGAAATTTAATTTCCTGAGCTAAATTCTTCCTGTATCCCTGAAATTGCTCTTTAGCTAAGAAAGAATCATAAAAGCTAAAGATTTTATAATACAAAGTAACATTAAAATTATGTTTGCTTCCGTTGTTGTGTTTAGTTTTGGTTTGTTTTTTCAAACAGCCTGGCAGTTTCACTCGACAATCTGTAGGTCTGCTGTTTCTCTGTCACTCTCKGAATAAATCTTGTTTTGTCCAGTTTCAAAACACATTCCTACTAACCACATGAATAAATAGCGTAGACAGGGTAMAAAGTATCTCTTAATGCTGAGGAGAGATTCATACCCGCAAAGAATTCTCTCAAAGAAGCAACCATTCTCTGAGTACAGATAGCTAGGCATACTAACCACAATGTTTTAGATTTGTTATTTATTTGARTAACCTTCAAACTGTCTTTCTCTGTTGTATTTGAATCCAGCCTAGAAAATAGCAGAATCTCTACAAATTCATAATCACTTAGCTATTTTCATCTGACAGTGTGGTTTTTTGTTTGTTTTTTTTATTCTGCTCTCTAATCTTTCCGATGTATCACATCAGGATCACACTTTTTTTTTTTTTTTTTTNGTGTTACTAGAAGCATTTCACTTATTTGCCTTCCATTTCTGAGACAATAGACTCTCCAAGCTCCATGGATAAAAACAAAAAAAGCCAAGACACAAAACTATCTTCAAAATCTCACTAAATTTCATTTTATTTAACTGCCAAATAATATTTTCATTTGTAAACAATCTAAATGTTTTCTTGCTTTCATGGATGCAGACAGTGTTTCTGTGAGCATCTTCCAAGAATGAGTCTCACTTATTGAAAAAATAAAGACATCAATAAGGAAATAAGATATGGGAAGTGATATTAAATTCAATGTTAATATTAGCTGGGGTTTTTTTTTGGCTAAACATCCTAATGAATACTTATGGATTTACTCATGAACTGCAAGTGTTACATTCTTTTCATAACTACTTTGTTCAGAATATACTATTCTCTCAGAAATATGTTCAAAACTACCTAAGTGCTGCATTTTAGTTCTCAGTGTGTTCATCTTACCTTTTCCTTATATTTCCTTATAACATATTATTATGTTACCAAACAGCTGCACTGCCTTCACCATTGTAAACAGAAATCTCATACTAAACACTTTATATTTTTGAAAATAAATAGGGAAAATAAGATGCTATCAGAAACTTTAAAAACAGGAAAGTTTACTTCAGAAAACATGTATTGTCTAAAAAGTCATAGGTGTAATATGAAGAAGCTATAATAGAAATCCCTATAACCAAATAAGTTCAAACTATTTATGAATAATGTAACACAAAGTAATAACATAACATAAAGTAATAATGTAACATACAAGAGCAGGCAAAATCCCCACAGGATTTCTTCAAACTAGTTTTGAAACTGAATCATTAAAAACAAAATTCTGTGTATAAAAAGCTCCTTTCATCCTCTATCTCTTTCTACTCCACTTCATCATCATAAACGGTAAATCAAGCCCCCAGAAATCTTCTTTCAGGATATGAAGTATTAATAATGTTCAGAGAAAATGTTTTCTAGAGGGTTTTTTTACTAGATATGTCCATAAGCTTTACAAGCAGTATTACAATTGTCAGGGACAAATTTATAGACATTCTATTCCTCTTTTTCATTTAGTGGATTTAGAAGAGAAATTTACCTCTCTCCTAGAAGTAGCATCTGCTGCCCTGCTTCTGCCAGAGATAATACTGAATAAATAASAGAGGACCTTACCTGCTGGACTCAGCAGCTGTAATGGCAATCAGAGGAGGTATCCTCAGAGGAAGAGTTGTGGGCCTTGGGATGCTCTCAACGTCATTCTTTTTATCCCAGTCTGCCTGTTCTAGCTGCCTGAAAGCCAATGGGGGAAGCTGGATGTTACGGGATGACAATCTTCGCACAAGATAGGGCTCCATTCCCTGGAAAGGCTCCTCATCCTCAGTGCTGTGATGCAGAGCTTCTTCTGAAACCTGTGATGAAGACAAAAAAATATCCACCATATAACAAAGTGCTCATAAGGTTAATTGGATATCTCTTTTAATTCCTTTCCATAACTTTGTTTCTAATAAATATTATTTGCTCTTTAGTATCATTTTTGAGAAAATTGAAAGGAATGACAAAATACAGGCAAAAATGTCAAGTTAGGGGTTTTTAAAGCAAAGTAAAAGCATTTTGATTATTAGACTAGCACACTGGTATTTAAAATGGTTATTCATATCCCTATAGGGAACAAAAGATTTGCATTACACTAATTTCTTTCCCACAAAATATGTGCTTCCCTACAAGTTATCTATGTTTTGGAAGAACTGAGGGTCCCAATACTGATAATATTTTTTTTAAGAGTAGTAAACAGATATTTAAATCTATAAAACTCTTGACTAAAAACAGGAGAAAATTAATTTTTAATTTTCTCAGGTGTCCCAGCTCCCATCTCTCTTTCTTTTTCACAATAATTTAATACTTATAGCAAGAGTTGAGCATTTAAAACAACCACCATAGCACTTAGAAGCCTCTGAAGCTGATGCCCTAATCTTATATTTAAGCATTGGTAAATACTATTTTCAATTTAATCATATAAAGCTATTGTAATATTCTCTGGGTCAAGGAAGAAAGATAGATAATTCAGTTAAGAAAACTCCAACTGGTAATGATTTAAAGGGGAAAAATTTGTCCTGAAAGTTTTTGAAATTTTTAACAGCTCACTATTGTGAGAGAAAATGCTCAGGAAAAAACCTCTTTTCTGAGAGTGCTGGTTTTGTAAGAAATTTTCTTTTTTCTTCCATTGCTTATACAAAATCTTTTACCATTACTTGTAAATTGCCCAGCACAGATACCACTATCTGCGCTTTTTGCCTTGAATACTTTCCGGTGAAGAAATCCAACTCTAAAGATTTTCTACATCTAAATGAAGAATTAGAAAGACAGTCTATATATAGSTGCATATTTTTAAACCTTGGTCAGGCATCAGAAGCCTCCTAGTCCCAACAGAACACTTGAGACTGGTGCACTGAGTACTGCCCTTTGTCAAACTGGACTTCAAGTGTACAGCATGGTACAGATCATACGCATAATATACAAAATAAAGAAAGCTGGACTGTGCCTAAAATTTAAAGCACACCTCCAGTTACAGCACAGCCATCAGCTTCTGTTTGAACTCTCTCATACAGGCAGACAGACACCTGAAAGAAAAACTTGCTCAGCTCTGTATTCACTCTGTGCACACAGGGAGAGCCATTTGTGAAACACCTTTTCAGAGAGCACTCGTACTAGATTTGCACAGCCAGGTTTTGGTAGAAATTGGCAAAAGCTGTTCCCATATCTGACAGAGCCAATACTAACCAGCTGCAAGATGGACACACTGCCCAGCCCATCAGCAGTGGCGCTAGCACCTCTGAGATAACTTAACTAAGAAATGAAAAAAAAAAAACCTGCACAATTGCTGCCAGAGTGAGCCATGAGAATATGTGAGAGCAGCAGCTCTGTGGACACCCAGATCAGTGGAAAGGGAGGGGCAGGAGGTGCTCCAGGCAGCAGAGCCAAGATTGCCCTGCAGCCCATGGTGCAGCCCATGGTGAGGCAGCTGTGCCCCATGGAGGGCCATGGGAATGCAGAGATCCACCTGCAGCCTAGGGAGGGGACCCATGCTGGAGCAGTTTGTGAGGAACTGTGACCGGTGGCAGGGACTCAGGCTGCAGAGAAGGTTCTCCCATGGGGAGACACCACAAGGTGGAGCAGGGGAAGAGAGTGAGGAGTACTCCCTTTGTAGGGGAGAGAGCAGTGGAAACAACTGAAATATAAACAGTCCCCATTCCCCATCCCTCTTCTCTGCTTGGTGAGGAGGAAGCAGAGAATTTTGGGGCAAAGTTGAGGCTGGGAAGAAGGGAGGGGTGGGTGGAAGTTGTTTTAAGATGTAATTTTATTTTTCTCATTAACCTCTTCTTATTTAATTGGTAATATATTAAATTTCCTCAAGTCAAATGAGTTTTCCCTGTGGTGGTAAGTAGTGAGTGATCTCCCCCTAGCCTTGTCTCGACCCATCAGCCTCTCATCATACTTTCTTTCCCCTGTCCAGTTAAGAAGGGGAGTGGGATGGAGTGGCACTGAGCATCCAGCYGAGGGCAACCCACCAAAGCAACATTAATGAGCTCTATTTATACTTGCAGCTTGAGCAGTTGCTGTAAGCAAATTATTTCYAATTTTTAATCATTAAATCCTAATTAATAATTTAGCTATTTTTCTTAATCCAGCTGCAATATAGTTTAAGAAAATAAATATTATAAAACGGTATGCATTAATGCATATACTTTGAAGGAAACCAATGGTAAAATCAATCACTGTAAAAAATATGACAAGAATTAATGTGTCATAGTCATCCAGGGAGAAGTTTAACTTCATGCTTGTATTTTCAGTGTGTGCTTAGTGTATATTTAAGACAGCTGAATAAATTAAAAACAAAACCAAAATTAATTATAGCTCTGCAAGAAATGAAAAATGCTGATATCAAAGCTAAAAATAGTCTATCACATGAGCTTATTTGACACATTTCACCAGTTGGGATTTTTTTGGGAAACTCCAAACATCATAAAAGTCCTTGATGTGCAGCCACAGTCACAATAAGGATAGCTGAACTGAGAAAGTGAACTCACTAGACAGCTTTTCCTTCAATTCCTATAAAAAGTTAACGAGTTAGAGGAATATGACTGGAAYAAAACCAGAAAGAAATTGAATAATTCCAATACAAATATTAAAGCTAAGCTTTGGAGAAATCAAATTATAGGTGCCTGATGTTTATTTCAGTGACAATGAAAATTAAATCAATTTGTGGAAAAACAGTCCACCTATTCAGGTACAAACACTCAAACATCTAAATCAGGAAATGTTCATACTTATTTTAGCTATCATGCCAAACAAGAAAAACATGCTTTGTGAGATATGCCTAATTTTTGAACGTTTTTAAGAAGCATTATATTKATTAAAATAATTTTAAGCCATTTATACCAGTATTCCATTAGGAAATTTTTGGGCAACCACAGCAAAAGCCACTGCTGTCCTTACCACAAAGCCACTAAGAATGAAAACCAACCTTTGGAATGGCAGGTGTGYGATCTGCAATATGAAATATAAATATAAAATTCTAATAAAAGAAGCAACTCCAAGATAAAGTGCTGCTCCTGACATTTCTTATCTCTGAGAATGTACAAAAGAAAAAGAAAGTTCCAGTAAAGTGTCTGTTCATGAAAACTGTTAAATGGAACGTATTAGGATTTCTTTTTACCTTAAAGGTCTGAAAGACTCCCTGTTAATCTCTGCCCTGTAACCAATTAACTGAATTCTAGAACACGACAACCTTTCGGATACCAATTAACTTACTTCAACACTTTTTGTCTAGAGCAGACTCCAGGCTGGGACATTTAAAGTGTCTCTTTCTTTGATTCATTTTTTTTCCTGGTTGGTTAACTTCATGCTCAGGAGATCATTTGCTAGCCTTCTAATTAGCTGGCATGTTTCTTAGTTCTTATCAGTAATTGCTCATTAGTAGGCATAGATTTTTGAGCAAAAATAAACGATTGTAACCTAGTGAACAAAAGTCAGCCACATAATACATTTGCTATAAAATAAAAACAGCCTGAGAGAAGTAAAAAAAGTCCTGACACTGGAATGCAGATTGGGTTTTTATCACTTATCTGCAGAACACTTGATACATTTAAAAAGATTGCCTGTTTTTCACCTTCCTTAACATTTCTTTAAAAACATTTTTTTTAAGTATTTCAGTATACACCTGTAACAAGCTAGTTGAGTAGCATCAGTTCTTGAACCATCCATAACGACCCCACCCTCACACACCTTCCCATTCTTTCCAGTTGCTTTTTAATCTTGGGATGTGAATTAAATGACTACTGATATACTATAGTTGTTTCTATCTCTTCCAAGAACAAATAGGCAAATGTACAAGTGCTCAAAAATCCAGTGCTGMAGTTATTCTCTAAAAACTTTGACATGCCAGCACTGTGCTCTTTAAATTAATATTAGCCAAGGGAAAAAAGGGTATAGCACCTTAACCTCTGTGTGTGTTCTTGCATTGCAATGTCACGTCCAATAGCAGAATTGAATCATAAGGAATCTGAAAAATAGATTAAAATAATCACCTCATTTGGTTTAGCTAAGCCCAGAGGCATGCTGAGCACCAAAGAGCCAGAAGCTACAATGAAAACTCATTTTGGAGGTTTGTTTGTTTGAACCATTTCCCCTAAAGAACAATAGGGTTGTTACTATCCCACCTACAGAACAACTTCCTGACTCAGCTCTGTGACTCAAGACTGGTTTGAGGCAGAAAATAATAATCTCTAATAATTCTACCTACATCTGTAAAAAATAATTCATTTACATCATCATATTGTGAGGAAACCACCTAGATATTAATTTTATACTTTTAATTAGAATAAGAAATAATTATTTTATGCTTTACTAAGATATGCCATAGCAGTATTTACGATTACTTAAAGTGTTCAAACAGTTCACATAAAAAGACGGTGGCTCGGTACTTGGTGTGTTTTACAAACCAATAATACATTTACAGGACACAAAGAATAGGTGCTGGTTGATAGTATCAGAATCTGGACTTTCTTTGCTGTTAATGGTTACACTGGCTTTCACCATCATCACACCTTAGCTTCCATACCTAGAGAACTGATATTATTCCCATCGAGCTATGGATGTTCTTGAGATCCACTGCTATGTTAGATCTAGACTACTCTTCCTCCAAGAAAAGTTGTACTTTCCATTCCTACATTCTCTTCGCTTCTTCCTCACCCATAGCCATTTTAATACTTTGAAAATATAACTCAATGAAAGTATCAAACCAGTAAATGTTCTTGCTCTTGGATTCTCTAATTTGTATTAAAAAGTAAATGAGAATATATTATTCACAAACCATTTCAATGATGCATTTCACTGTGACTAGATTTATTGC